CAGATCATCACTGGGTTGTTGAAGAAGGTCAATAAGCTGGAAGCAAGACTACAGACAAGGAATGAAAGAGAGATAAAGCTATGAATATGCTTGATTATCTCATAGGGATTGTAAATTTCCTCACAATTTGTTGTTTTTATTTTCTACTTTGATTCATTCCTATAAATTGCAATAACAAAATAATTTATGTTCCCCAATAAATTTGTTAAAGATATCAATTTGTGATGATTTTCTTATGCTCCTCGTTGGTTTTAGAGAAGATAAGTATATCATCAATATAAACTACACAACAATCTTTAAGATCTTTAAAAATTGTATCCATCCACCGTTGAAATACCTGTGGTGCAATATTTAACCCAAAAGGCATAGCATTCCAGTGGTAATGTCCTCTAGGTGTAATATTTAAAAAGGAAAGGAGCCAATTACAAAACTAAAAAGGAGCTTTTTACTATTTTTACTATTTTTATTATGGAATTTTGGTGGAGTTATGGAATTATGCTAGAGAAGAGAGAAAGAACAAAGCAAAAAGAAGAACTTAGAGGCAAAGAAGAAAGCACAACGATGAAGAGAAGTTGAAGGGAATTTACATGCTCCATTATGTTGGCATAAAGGCCAATATATAGTCTTACAAGAAGAGAATACAAACAAAATAGAACTTATTACATATCTAACTTATATCTAACTTTGTAAGACTTTTTGTCTTAAAAGTTGTCAATTTTTCTAACTAGTTAGGCAGCCTAGTCGTAGGCCTTTTGAAAAATCTATCTAAAAGTAAATACAAAGAGACAAAAATAAAGACAAAAGGACTACAATTATTTGCTCTTTGCTACAGTTTTTACAATTATATACATTGATACACACTGTCTACCCTCCCCGGTTTTTAAAGAGATAGACTGTTGTAGATAAGCTCTGGCTGAGCTGATTTGTCGTGTAGCGTCGGCTGAAATGATGTGGCTGATCACTTTCCACCAAATAATGCAGGTTGCTCCACGTGTCCTGGATAAGGTTGGAGTCGATCAGGAGACAGCTGCATTTGATAGTGGGGTCCACTATGCTTCCATCCTGTTGATGAGATTGTGATATTCTTCATCAGTCTCTGATGGGGGGAATCCGGATCTTGGCTGTATTGCTCATTTCGGAAATGTTCTACATCATCCGCTGTCATGGCTAGTTCCAACGGAAGATCCAAATTATTTCTCTTTTTGAGATTTATTAACATGTCAAGAGCCTCATTAATTTGTATTGGAGACCTTTGATATGTTATGGGAAAATGGGTTACAAATAATATTCTTCCATCTGTAACCATGAATGGCAATTTTGCTGAGCCATGGATGTTGGACGCTGCTTGTGAAACAGATATTAGACTGTCTATCCAATATTCTGTTAAAGAAAGTTTTTGGATATTTTCCAATCGCTCTCTCCGGTGATCTTCATCTAAATAATCATCTTCAAATTCAAAATCTTCAGTTTCTTTAAGATACCAAATTTGGTATGGTTGGAAAAAATGTTCTCGTTCTCGCCAACCAACAGTACTAGAGATCCAAAAAGTAAAATATTTGCTCCATCGAAAGCCTTTTACTATCCATGAGAGCATTGTTTTGATGATCATTGGATAATCTATCCATTGAATTGGATTTAAAATTTGGAAAATAACTTGATTAGTTATTCCCCAATCTATATCCTCAAAAAACCACATGTCATGGTTTGCCATGATGGTTATTTTAGGAATCCCATCTTTCAAATTTAATTTATCATAAGATCGTTCTAAGATTTGTCTAATCTTATCGTGATGATCTTCAACTCGATTTTTAATTAACATAAAAATTTCTTTTGGAAGCAAAGTCCTTGCTTTTTAAAAAAGACAAATTCTTTTTATTTGTTCAAAAACTGGGTCAGAAAACTCATCTGATATGAGATCTGATAGTTGAAGAAAATTGTTTATTTTTTCAAAATTAAAATCTTCATTCTAATCCATTTGTTTAAGAATATTGAAACAAAGATTTTGCAAATCTTTTAATTTAGCTGTTTGCTCAGCTAATTTGTTGGCCAAAACTCCCATGTGTTTTCGAAATTTCACTTTGTTGTCTACAATGTGAGTTTTCCAAACTCCATTGAGTTCTGTATAAATTTCTCTGGATATACCAGGATTGAAAAAATCTTTTATTTCAGATTCATCTGGTCTAGACGTCTGAATATTAGTTGGAACTGGGTTAGTTCTCATTTGACAAAAATTCTTTTGATAAACAGGCATAGCTGGTGCACTGTAAAAAGCTTTTTTAGCTTTGGTCATGCTATCATATGCTTTATAGCTCGCTCCTGAATATCCACAAACTTGTGTGTTGCAATCATTCCATTCTGTAT